TTCCTTACCTTCCACTAACGTTCCCTGCAGTTATTTTCCTTACCTTCCACTAATGGTCCCTGGAGGTTATTTTCCTTACCTTCCACTAACGTTCCCTGCAGTTATTCTCCTCACCTTCCACTAACGTTCCCTGGAGGTTATTTTCTTAACCTTCTTCTAACATTCCCTACGCCTTCTGGATTTTTCCACAGATCATTTCCCGTGGCTCCCGTGTGAAAGGAGAGATAAAAAGAATAAGGGGGAAATGAGGGCATGGATAAATGAAAGTCAAGCCAAATGTTTAAATGGGAATAAAAGAATAAGAGATGACAATGATTTCAATAAGTTCTGAAAGCGAGAAAGAAGAGCGAGGGCAGAGAGAAAGACTTGAGAAATGTATTGTCATAATAAGGTTTATTGAAGGGCTCAAGAAAACATAAAGAAAATCAACCCGTGTGTGCTAACAACAGCTCTGGCAAGCAAGATAGCGGAGATATTATATGCGAAGGTCCTTAATGATGGCAACCTATTGGTGAGATGTGCGAATGAAGAACCACTTCAGAAAGCACTGAATCTAAAATATATAGGAATACTTAAGGTGTCAAACACAGGGAGGGTGGTAGCACAAAATGGTGGTGGATGAAAAAGAGTTATCACGGGGGTGCCAGTGAGTGTTGGTATGCAGGAACTAAAGAGGAATTTCAATGTGGGAAAATTAGTGGATGTTCAAACACTAAAAACAACAAGAGAAGGAGTGAAAAAGTATATTGAAACAGTACTGATTGAATTTGAAGTAGAGTGTGTGCCATAGAAGATATTCTTGGGTTATTTGAGTTACCCAGTGAGAGTATATGTGCTAAAATTAATAAATGTGTGACATGTGCAAGTTGTGATGGGTGCAAGTTGTTGTTGAAAACAATGTGGGTGGCCTTGATAAGATCTGTGTTGGACTACGGCAGTATAGCGGATAGATCAGCAGTCAAATCTCCCATAGGGAAATTGGATGTGATTCAGGCCCAAGCATTAAGAGTTTTTAAAGGATAGGAAGGATAAGCAGGGATAGGGTGCAACAGAGGCTGTCAGGGGCTAGCATTTTATAGTAAGTATATTTTTTATTTCATTTGTTTTAATTTTTTAGAGGGATACATTGCCTAGTCTTGTTTCTGCTCCACACCAGAAGGTGGCGGTAATGCACTAATAAGATGGATGTCAACCAGAAGACGAAGAAGAAGAAAAATAACACAAACCAATAATCCTCTGATTCCGACTGTGACAGATGTTCTGTAATTTCTCTTCTGGCTATACGATATCGGCACATTAAAAATATTTTTGATTTTCTGCCTTTCCAAATTTGCATGATAATAGCGCCAGACTGTCTGACTAACTGACGTTAGCTTCTCTCTCCAGCTGACTCGTTAACCGGCATCTACACAATCAGCTGACGGACCACTGAGCTTGTTAGCCAGCTAACGTTAGCCAACACTGAGCTAACACTGAGCTAACGTCAGCTCAGCTGTCTCTCTGAACTGCCCTTTGTCTTTACGAGCCAGTCAGCTAGCTGGGATCGTTTCTCCTCTTGGTTAGCTGACACTGGCTCTTGCAATTTTACTTTTTTTAGCCTGACAAGAGTTAAGCAAACCAAGATAGGCAGCTTGGGAACCAAGATGTCGAACCGAGTGGTGTGCAGAGAAGCAAGTCACGCCGGGAGCTGGTACTCTGCTTCGGGTAACTGCAAAACAACACCGGCAGCGTTAGCAAGCGGTGTGCTAGCTGTTTGTGTCACGGTAGTCTGTTTTATTGCCTTTGTTGGCTTTTTATTTTTGTATAACCGTCATTATCTTGGGGACGAAAAAAACTGTCAAATTGGTTGATTGCCACAGTTGATGGCTAACGTTACGGTGGTTAATCCATCTCGTGAGAAGTCGACTAGCTGACTCTAGCTGTTATTGACAGCCTCATCTCTGTTATGGGTTGAGTTTATTCACCACTTCTCCTCCCCGGCTGGTCGATGTAAATCTTTTAAAGCCATGGTTGATTAGAAATCAAAGCTTTCAAATGACAATAGCGAACTTGGCTAATATTGCATAACTTCCTGGCCTACGTTACCTGCTATCTGGCTAGAATAAGACATGATGTATATATATATATATACATACATACATACAATAAGACATTACCCAAAACAGCTTGTCAGCAAAAATGTTAAGTGAAGCCGCTAGTATTTTTGTGGTTTGGCTGATCTCTGACCCGATGAAGTTAGCGTTAGGTGCAGGAATACTTGCTGCCATGAAACAAAGGACTGGGCAGGGCAGAAAAAGTTCATGTTGCTTCCCTTCCCCCATTTATTGTTAGTAAACACCGAGACCCTGCCTGTTTATTCCTTATTGCATTGTTTGTAATAACCGATGTCGACTAAACAAAAGTTACTCTAATGATAATCGTAAACAAAAATATGTTCATAAACTGAAGGCAGATCTTATGTTAATCTACCATGATCACGATGTCCTTGTTCGTTTTTACAACACTAATTATGTCAGTTGTTTGTTTTTCCTGCAGACGTAATTGTATACGTTAGTCAGCTGTGTTTGATTGGTGTTGACATGACGTCAACAGCTCTGGCCACCAGTAAAGACTAACACTGGTGGTACAATAGGCAGGAAACCAGGTTAAAACTGAGTGGGATTTTAAATTAAATTAGTTTGACCTGAACCAGAAGACATTTGGCTCTGGATTGACAGTGAAATTATGTTTTACCTAAAATGTACACTTTACCATTCTAGTTTATCTCCATTTTCTACCCAAAATAACTATTTTTAATGACAAGATTAAATCAACCACTATTGCCACATTTGGATTCCCCCCCTCTGGGATCATTACAGTGACGTATTACCTTGATTTTAGTGATCCATACTCGTGGCGTTGCTGTGTCTTATCAAATCCTTTTTGTATTTATCAGATAATTATGTTTTTAGTGCTGGTCCGCTATGTCATTCTTAGTCTTGAAAGGAAGCACAGTAAGAGTTGCTCCTTTTAACCCAGTAATCTGAAATAAAGTTCTTTTTGATTTTTTGTTTTTAAATTCTACCTTTTCAGGATCCCAGCTGAACGCACAACTAGAAGGCTGGCTGTCCAAAGCAGAGTCCTCAATCAGACCCGCAAGAGCCATCATAGCGCCGTAAGATCAAGTTTAATACAATCTGATCATGTCAAAATGTATCTGTAGTGCTGACTCATTCTAATTTGACATGTTTATGTTGGCAGGCATGCTGGGTATACCTACTGTGGTGCTTGTGCAGCACATGCCTACAAGCAGGTTGATCCCTCTGTTACGTAAGTCATTCAGTTTTCATCTCTATTCCTTACATAAGAAAATGCTTTGTGTTACTTTTTCTGATCTTAAATTTCCCCCCACAGAGTGAACAGATGTTACTTTAGATAGTAGAATATAGTGCTGGTGGTGTGCCTTTTGTGAATAGAGTCAGTGAGATAAAATCCTGTTGCCCTTCAGTCGTAGGGTGTTCATCCTGGGACCTTCACACCATGTGCCCCTCTCCCGCTGTGCCCTGTCACCTGCAGAGATCTATAGAACACCTCTCTATGACCTGAGAATCGACCACAAGGGTATTCACTGTTTTCACTCATGACATTGTGATTTTTTTGTGTGCGTGTTTGTCGCTCAATCTCAGATGTTATCGCATGCTAATGAGTTAAGTATTCAGGACAGCATTTTAAGGCTCATGTGAGGTAGTAACATAACCAGTTTGGATTGCTGTTCAGGTTTGTTTAGTGTAGAATGTAGTGCGTGTTTCCAAACGCTGCCAAAAACAAATGAGACAAACACCTTTTTTCCAGTAACACTAAAAAAAAAAAAAACAACCCGGAATTACCCTTTCTTGTGATTGATATAGTCTAGGCTGACCAGAGCTCCAACATACAGGCCTCAAGCCGTCTTGGGAGGTGATACACTGTTAGCCATCCACCAGGGGCCAGACAGTTCCCTTCTTCACTATTAATATATTGGCTTTGTCAATGATGAGGTTGTTCTTAGCTAGACACTTATCAGGATCCCCAAATTAAAGGAGTGTGCAGCTCCAAAAACGACTTCATCAGTAGACACTGTCATCATAACATGCACAAATTAAAGTGAAACTCACCTCTGTTTTACAGTTTATGCTGACCTCTGGAAAACTGGGTTGTTTGAGCGGATGAGTCTGCAAACAGATGAAGATGAGCACAGTATTGAAATGCACTTGCCTTACACTGCTAAAGCCATGGAGAGGTAATGCATATAGAAGTGGCATTCATTGAACTAAAGAATCAACCCCATACACTTACAGAGGGAACGGCCTCACGGGAGGAAGCTTTTTCTTAAAGGTGCCCTGTGACGTTTTCTTCTAAACAAACAAGTTATGTTTACATTCAGTGTTTCTCCACAAAACACATTGTGTGAATCCTTGAGCTCCAACAAATGTGGTGAATGCATTGCCTTCCTCAAAACATTTGCAAAGCCGATTTTTTTTTTTTTTTTGTTTTGTTATAGAAGGATTTTAAATCCTGCATTGTTTACGTTCATGTTTACTTGCTAGCTTTCTTCTTCCCTGTCTTTGCTATCAAATCCCAGCATTATTTGGCATGTTAAGTCACTTGTAGATCGGTGGAATAGTGTGACATCCTTGGCCGAAATGTGTATCATGTGTTCTGTTCATTCTTTTCATTAACTTTCTATACACATTGTTAACCAGAAGGACACATGGGATATGCATAACGGCCCTCTGTTAGGTTGGAAGGAGTCAAAGGTATATTCTTGGTTCAGAAAAGCAGGGATCAGGTAGTATGAAGTGAACTGAGCACATTAGCCCAAACGCATGACACAATCAAACTGAACAAAAACCTGTGGTGTTGACTGACGAGACACATTAATGATGTAGGTGTTGCATATAGGGTACAAAGGAGCAGCTCCCGAGTAATAGCTTATCATGCAGTTTGCCATTTGTTTTCAATGATAGATGCTCTATGGAAAATAAAACTGTATTAATGCAGATTTTATTTCCGCCCATTGAACATCACTCTGACAAGGAGGCGCAGTTATTGTACTCATGTTGTTCGTTCAATAATCTGATGTTGCAGCCACAAAGACGAGTTTAGCATCGTCCCTGTGCTTGTGGGTGCCCTGAGTGAGTCCAAGGAGCAGGAATATGGGAAGCTGCTCAGCAAGTACCTGGCAGACCCTTCCAACCTTTTCATTATCTCATCCGACTTCTGCCACTGGGGTTGGTATCGACAAAGAAAAGCACTGAAAATGAGAGTATTCTGCCATTGAAAGCAGTTTGTGATCTGATCTTTTGTGTTTGTCTTTTGAAGGTCAGCGGTTCCGCTACACGTACTATGATGAGTCTCAAGGAGAGATCTGCAGGTCTATCGAGCATCTGGATAAAATGGTAACCACTGAGATATATTTGATTCAAATGTGAGATCATTATGTAAAGATTATCATCAGCCACATGCACAGCTGTTATGGGAATAAAGTACACATTAAATAGATAAACCAAAATGAGCCACACCCAAAATTCTTATGAGTGATAATTATTATACCTCGTGTGCTCCTAATTACTTTAATTTATCTGCTAAAAAATACACAATGTTCAAGGAAATTGGAATACAGAAGGGCAGAGAGGACGTGGATAGTGTTTTCTTTTTAAATTACTGCTTTTGAGAGATAAAATAATCAAACGAAACAATTCTATTGAGCAACATGACATAACAAAATCGAAACCTGTCTTTTTCTCGGCGTGTGAAGGGGATGGGCATTATAGAACAGCTGGATCCCATGTCTTTCACCAACTACTTGAAGAAGTACCGCAACACCATCTGTGGGCGTCACCCGATTGGAGTGCTTCTAAATGTAAGTACCACAGAAGAAGAGCCTCACCAGGTGTTTCTCTATTTAACGTCATGTAGACATGTTGATGATCATGCTCTGCCTTCCTTAGTTACTGATGCTACGCCTCTACGTCAAGCTTCTCGCACATTTATAATAACATTAACGGTTTTATTCATGCCTTATGCTCCTGTGCTTGTGTTTTTGGTTTTGTAAAGGATAAATTAAGGCACCACTGTCCAAACTCTTTATAGATAGAGTATGGCCCTTACTGCAGCTTTAATGCACAGTGCTTCAACACCTGAGGAAATCTAAAGCTTGACCAGCCTGCCATGTATAGTTACAGTTGACTTTAATTGGGGGGAGAGGTTTAGTGAAAAATCAATTTGCAGTGTAAAAAAAAAAAAAACTGTAAAAAAAAGTTGGGACAAATACTTCCTGTTGTGAGAATGAGACGTTCTGTCCTTATTGCCTGACTAAGTGCAGCTGTTACTGTTTTGCAGGCTGTGGCTGAGCTGAGGAAGTCTGGTTTAGAAATGAACTTTTCTTTCCTGAACTACGCCCAATCAAGTGAGTGCAGGAACTGGCAGGACAGCTCCGTGAGTTACGCTGCTGGGGCTCTCATCGCTCATTGAGGTCGACTTCCGCAGGGGCCACTGCAGCGCCGCCGCCGTCGTCGTCCTGCCCTTACTATCTGTCGCCATAACCTGACCCAGACACCCCCCCCCCCCAGTTATGCCCACTATTTGCAGGAAGGACCTAGACACTCACAGCCAATATAGTCGTCTTTCTCTGTCTCTCCCTCAGCTCTCCTCCTCCTTTCTCCACCCTCCTCTCAGTTTGAAGTGTGTCGCAGAGCTTATAGTTGAAATATTTAGCTTGAAGTGCAGTTTTGAGACTATGGAGGTGCAAATGGTTAGAGAAGATGGGAAGAGTGGGTATCATTATGTCTCGGAGTAAGCGTTGGGAGGGGGAGATCCTCCTTGGGTTTAGTCCCATTTAGTTTTCCTGACAAAGCAATCTTAAGGAGCATTTTTGAAGTTTTTCCAGATGAAAATGGAAAGAGTACTTTGACTGACTGCTTCATGCGACTTAAACTCTGAAGACAGTGTCATAGGTGTAGTTAACCAACATGTTGTAGTTGCTAACAAAGGGCTGCACCCAAAAACTTTCACTAACTCCCCGACTGTACAAAACCAAAAACGTTATTACTCTTAGTTTATCAAATATTATCTTTAATTCATATTTTAGTCCTTTTTATTTCTCCCTTTTTCAGTAGTTTTATTAGACGTGATAGTATTTACTCAAGTAGTGTGTAGATTTGAACAAAAGCAGTGTGGTCGGTTAAGCGCTAAAGCCATCAACATCATCTGCCCAATAAATTTCCTCCAGATTCCAATGACATGCCTGTAGCATGAGAGATATGTTCTGCAGGGGGCCAGAATCCAGTTGTGGGTAATTCAGAAATGTGATCAAAGCCGGATATTGTGTAAATGACTCCAACATTGACACCTCTAGTCCTCGTTTACACCGTCACCTTCAATCTCTGTAGTTAAGGAGATTCCAGTGAACATTTTTTTTGCTGGACTTGAAATGTCTTTTGTTACACGTTCAGTTCTGTAAGAGCAGCAAAAGCTTTTGTTTCGGTTTGACCAAAGTGTTAAAGGCCGACCTGATCGGCTTAAGTTGTTGGAAATGTTATTAGATCTGTTCACCGGCTAGTAATCTACATCTTTTTGTGTCGATACGTTTTGATTTAAGAATGCCAAAAGCTATTGGGAAAATATAAGTCATCCTTATTTACAGGTTTAGTTGCCTCTGAGTGTACACGATTTCACTTCAGTTACTCTCGAGGCAGCAGGAGTATCATTTAGCTAAAAACAAGTAGTAGACGGCCACGTTTTAAGATCAGCACAAAGTCATCATGCTTTTCTATAAGGTTTAGGAATCTATCCAGAAAAGAGACAGTTGCTCCATGTTGTATTTTGGAATCTATTAAAAAACCAGATATTTACTTAATGAAATGTAAAGCACGAGGATCACTTTTAAGAACAGAAGAAAACAGGTTATTTTTTTTTTTGCAAAGTAATATGCTATGGGGGTCCTGCTGCCTGAAATTATAATATTTTCAAAGATTAACAAACTGCATACAAAAGCTGAATGCAAAAACCTGATGATCCATAGCGCCAGTATGGGCTGTCAATGGCAATATGACATAGGCAGCACACAATAGCTGCTGTCCTGTCTTTTGATATTTGAATATCACTGACTGACTTTTACTGATGCAGTCCTCTTGACATTGGTTTGTGCCTCTCGGCACCATAAGAGGCACTTAGCGTTAAGCTACGACGTCTGACTGAAAGATGAATCCTCAGACTCACTTGACCTCTGACGCTAATCCAAGGGAAACTAGTAAAGCATGACACTGTGCTATTGTGCCTTTTTATCACCGTTGCAAATATACATATTAAGTGTATTCTCACTTTTAGTCTTATTTTAGTTTGTGTACTTTTCAGTTTTTGTTTTCCCACATGTAGCCTCCTGCTTTCCTAGAGTCCAACAATGTGTCCAGCTCACCCAGCACTCCAGGAGTGTGTGACCTGTCCCCCTCATCTGTTGGTCGAAAATAGCACCAACCGTTATCTCCTTTCTCCAGCAGGGGGAGTGGTGTTCTCTGTTCTCCACCTCACCTCATTCCTGTAGAGAGAAAAAGGCTGAACCTCAACACTGTTCACGTTCCGTTTATGGATCTTTCTTTGTCTTTTAGAAATGTTTTTTGTTTTTGCTTAGAGAATGGGAAGTTACATGTCACAAACCTAAAATATACTACTTAACTACTCCCTTAATGGAGTTTTTTTTATCTCAGGTTCCACTGACAAAGCATCCCAAAAGGCTCTTCAGATAAGGCCGTGGATTCATGTTACAAAACAAGTAAAATGTACTGAAAAGCGTGTCTGCTCTGGTGTCTTGTTCTTCAAGTATTTACAACCATAGAAAACTACTGACTTGGTGTTTGCATTTCATTGTTTAATTGTTGCCTTGTTTATTCCTCCAAAGTTGAATGGGGTTAGTAGCCTCTTAGTTATTAGCACGTTAGTTTGGTTGTAAAATGTGCAATTTTCAACCTTGTATGATTGTAAAACACGTTTGCTTTAGATAGGTGTTGATTCAACTTTATGCAGTTTGTGTTGCTCGTCAAATTGAAGCTTCTCTCTAAAACAGTTTCATGAAAAAATCAATACCATAAACTGCTAAAGTGTATGAGAGTAAACTTGCACAAAACCACAATGTTAGGCTGTAAATCTCACCTACTTTATTTCCAGCGTTTCCACCAATTCACGTTTTTTGTTCCGACCACTGATGGCAAATAACATTACAAACCTATTTTACTTTCTTAAGAAAATGTATGTACTGCAACTGACATAATGATTGGGATGCAGTGAACACGCGTTCGAGGCGCTTCCAATACAGCTAACCAAATGCTGCTGCCGTACAAATGTTCTCATCTGCTCTCTGTTTCCAGACTAGCAGCATCAGTTGAAGGCACGGGGCTTTATAATACGAGCTGACGTTAACAAGACACATCCTATGTCAAACGCAGGACAACAGTAGTTCAGTTGTCACGATATGCACAATCACGGCTCGCACTGCAATAGATATTACAGAAGTACCAGTACATCAGACAGATTTGATCCTTCTGCAATATTCAGTGGTTAATGTTTTCAATGAGTCATTGAGGCAAGTCAGTGCTCAGATCAGGAACAGTGTACTGGTCTGATGATCTAACTTGTATTATTATTATTGTCCTATTTAGGCTGATTGTTAGGCTGAATGTTTAAGATCATTTCAATTTTACTGTTTTACTTGAACACCGGGTAGTACATATCAAACCACCAACAAGAAAACAGGTTATGAGTCCTGAAACTATACACACACGGATGAATATGTAGTCAGTATTTACAGACTAATGGCTTTATTGTGAAGTTATGGTGAGTTTAGTCAGTTATCCTGTTCTAGTGCCTCAGTTTAAGTCTCCCTTATTCCATTTCACTCATTGGTAATTGATCATTTAAAGTCAGCTCACCCCAGATTTCCTCACAGACATAAAAAACAACTTGCAAATACAATCAGAGCTACATAATTGGGGCAGATGTTTTTTCCTGTGTCTGTAAACAGGAAGGACGCACAGAGGAGGTTTTCTGCACGGGGCTTTTGGTTGACTTCAAAACAGAGTAACGCTTTGCGAAAGCTAGCCCTTTAAATCAGAGCATTCATTCCAAGGTGGAGAAAAAGGGAGCGCTTGCTTTTCAGATTCTGACACACCTATCTGCTTTGGGAGGAGTAAAAGAGGCTGTTTAAATCCATTTAACTTAATACGGACTCTTAAGATTAGTAATAAGAGGAAGCGATAACTGCAACGCTGCGAGATGCACTGCTATGGGGACTTGGTCAGCTATCTCAGCTGTGGGATGATCCTGATTGGACTCGGACAATTGGTCCATCACAAGAAGATGCAGACCTCCTACGGGCGCCACATGGGACTCCCTCCTCCGGCTAGGACGGTCCCAGCCAGGCTGGCTTGGTTCCTCCAGGAGATGCCAGCTCTCCTGATCCCCCTGCTTTTAACGCTCACCAGGCACAAACCCTCCAGTACGGGGAAGTACCTGCTGCTGGGGACCTTTTGCCTGCACTACTTTCAAAGGTAAAAGCAAAGACGGGAGCCTAGTTTTAACCATTTCATGTGTGTGAAAATGTACTTTGAGATATATAGCAGTGATTAATATTCAAAATACAAGCAAATATACAAGGTTTTAACTGTCAAGATTTTTCGTTTTTCTCATTTAATAATATATTTAGTTCTATATTGTCTTATGCCTGTAGTGTATTATCCCACCGCACATTTCTTATATTGACTTATATTTGTCTCATACATACTTAGCCTGTTTGTGTACAGTAGCCTACGAGCATCAAAGGTATTCTTACACAAGATGATTTACTCCATATTGGTTTATTACAGCACTGATTCCCCAGTGAAACAGGATTCAAACTGAATAACTTTAACCTTTTAATAACTAAAACCTCATCTCAATGTACATATTGCAACTTATACATTTGTACTTGTTGACAGAAACAAAAATGTGGCATCATCTCTAATGTCATAGTATACCTAGTAGATGTACAGTATACAGCCAGTTTGTAAGTGAAAGCCAGAACCAAGAAGAAAAAAAACTTAAAATGGAGACACAGAAAAAGGAGCTTTAAAAAGCTGCTATAATCTGAAGGCTAAAACACAGTGATAAATGTACTGGCAACCATGAAGAATGAGGCTTAATGGCGCCCTTTTTGCCTGCATTTACATGCTAAATCATTCACACAAAGTCTCTCATCCTGTCTGTTCTTTGCATGTACCAGCATGGATAAAATGCACTATCATCCCCCTCCTCTTTCCACCTGCTGTATCTGCTATTTCTTCACCAATCATAGGACATTTGTCTATTCACTACTGACCAGAGGAAAACCTTTCCCACTGAGTGTGATGCTGCCAGCAGGCTTCTTCTGCTCTCTGAACGGTTTACTGCAGGGACACTATCTGCTGCACTGTGCCCAGCTTGATAATGAATGGTCAGCTGACTATCGCTATAAATCTGGTAGGAGCAATATTTATTCTTGGCTTCTGAAAATATTTCATTTTTTAAATATGAAATACCTAATAACTTCTTCCATTTTATGTGCCTCAAACATTAACATGATTAAGATTTATTTTTAAAGAATAAGATACAAATATTTTTTTTCTAGGTTTACTGCTGTTTTACATTGGAATGGCCGTCAACGTACACAGTGACTATATTCTACGCAACCTGAGGAAACCAGGGGACGTAGTTTACAAGATACCTACAGGTAAGAAACAAGAGATCACGCCTGAATAACCTCCGATCCACTCCGTGCCGGTATAGTGACCTGCTCTTCTCGCTCTCCTACAGGAGGTCTGTTTGAATATGTGTCTGGTGCCAACTACTTAGGAGAGATAGTGGAGTGGTTTGGCTATGCTGTAGCCACCTGGTCCCTTCCAGCACTCTCATTCGCTGTGTTTAGCCTGTGTTTTATTGGACCCAGAGCCTACCACCATCACAGGTGCCTAAAACATAAAGAAACTGACAGAACGTTAATACCCGCCTGCCAAACTACATTACCGTGCTATATCTGAGTGACTTATCTTCTGCTCCTCTGTTACAGGTTTTACCAAGAGAAATTCAAAGACTATCCCAAGTTACGAAGGGCTTTGATCCCATTCGTCTTCTGAGAGACAAAGAACCTGCCTGTCATCTTGTAAGTGCATACAATACATCGAACCAGCATCAAGCACAGTGTGAGAGTCTGTTTCCTGTTCCAATTGTATTTGTAAACAGAAATTATGCCCATTTTACTGCAACAAATATCTGTTTTGGTTTCACTTGCAGTCATTATCCAAAAAACCATAATCTACAGATTAATTGTTCAAGTCTTTCTATTAAAACTGCTACGGAAGAAGCTTCCAAAAAGACTTTGATGCAATCACTTGGTGTCCGTATGAATATATTCTGTGAAAAGATATACAAGTTTATTTTTATGCAGATACAAAATGTACAAACTGCAAAAAAACTTCAAATCTCATCACTCTAAATGTAACTTGGCCCCGATTTCAATTTGTCTGAATGTTAACATATTAAAACATTGTGATCGAGGAGACATTTGTGAAACATAATTGTTGGAGGTTGGTCTTTGTATTTTCATAGTTGTGATTATTTTACTAAATCAGCAGGTTTAGAATGGTAATACTTTGATGTAACACAATGTAATGTAAAAAAGGGTGGATATTTCTTTGGGTACTATTTTTTTAATTTAACCTTTATTTAACCAGGTGAGTCCCATTGAGATTAAAAATCTCTTTTTCAAGGGAGACCTGGCCAAGACAGGCAGCAACATAAGAAACAGATAGTTACAGACAGAAAACACAGAACAAGACAAGTTAAAAGAAACTAAAAGTTAAGAGACAGTGACGTAACCGAGTTAACCATGTTGGCAACCTTGCAGCACCTCCTAGTGCTGACAACTGCAGCAGAAACATGTCGGTTTGTAACAAAGTGGAGCAGGGATGACTTCAGGCCAACCCCTGAAGTAAGAAAATAAGATCTGTGGCAAACACAAGTTTATGATAGTTACACATTTTGCAAGAAAATCTTTACAAATGAACGCCACTTTTATGATTTTTGAAGCAATTAATGTAATTGGCAGAAGTAAAAAAGCTAATGTTAGGCCATAAACAAACCACCACAGTCACATGGGCGTGATGAAACAACGAGGTTGTAAAGGCAAGAGATGGAATAGAAAGGCGATGGCACACAGAGTCTGTTTCACATGAGTTTCACCACTGCCTGGCCCCTTTAGGAGATTAGTGACAGAACCCGGGTCTGTTAACTCCAATGGGAGGAGTGAATGTGATCGATTGTCTTGCTCCATAGTCACCAAAGTAAATATTGGACACATTTTTCACAAGCCAAATATCTATATACTGAAATGGCAAATTTCAGACAAAATGCTGCGGTGAAGTCGGACAGTTTCCAGCAGCCTTCAAAGAATATCCAGGAAGGCACAGGAATATTTACATCCTGTTAGATCTGATCCGTAGGCTGCTTGTAGTGTGCAGACCACGTTCACACAAGATATGTTAATTACAATTACACAGAAAAATAGCATTCTCTATAAAACTTGGTGTTTTGTTGTCAAAACTAAGAACCAATCAGCTCTTCGATCAGGTGACAGCCAGCCGTTTCCCCATCATGACCTGGGTCTTGAAAACAGTGGAGAGCAACTGCGGTTCTAAAAACTGCGTCTGCCTCAATCGATCGATTCTGCGCAGACCTGACTCATCTCGAACGAGCCCAATATCTTTGGTAAAGGCGAACTAGTCGGCGTGATGAGGTTTTGTAGTCTCGTTTAGCCACTTGATGGCAACCGCCTTTTCCAAAACATGTAACATCTTCAACGCTATAGGAAAAGCTATTATGTATTGTAGAACAAAACATTCTCAAAAAATATATATCTTAAGCTTGTGTTAACCAGACCGTTTTTTAGGCATCTCACCGAAAAATCCATTCAAAACCCCATCGGCTACGAGACAAGGGAACTGGAAGTGCAAAAACGGCAACTCATTTTGGGGTTTAAGGACTCATTCCTGCTGCACTCTATAGAGAAACTGATCATCTGATAAAGAGCTGAATTATTTTTATTCACTACATTTGTATACTCTCTCAAACATCACATATCATCATTAACAAAGAGGTAAATCCCACGACGGCTACAACACAGAGGCAAGCCATTTCCACTGACTCACACTAGGATTCAATCAGATTTTTTACACAAGGCAATGCCAACACCTAGTGTCTAAATGGAATATTACTTCTGAAAAAAAAACAAAAAAAAAACAGCATTCATTCCTCATTTTGATCATCACAAACGAGAGCTACACTCTGGATAAAAGGCCTATTCTGCTAGTTCATATCTTGAATTAGATATCGCACATCCAGTGCAAGATTAGCAGTTTCTACAGCAACTTGCAAGGCATTGAGTTTAGCTGTGAAGGAGTCAAGCACACGTGGCTGCACAGCTGCATCTCCAGACAGAGGTGCAGGTGAGAACTCTTGGTAATTAGTGTTTAGGTAAGTCCACCTCTGATTTGGGCTACTTTCCATCAGTCCACAGCCACAGAAGCCCGAGCTATCCTCCTGTTCTTTCATGACATCTGCAGGGCGAGTCCAGTGGTGAGCATGAGTCAGATCCATCACAGAATCCCCGCCGTCGTGCTCCAGCGCTGCGGCCACAGACTCCAGAGAGTGACAGAAACCGTCCACGCCGCGAAGGTGCTCCGTCCGTGAGCACCCGAGGGCCGATACGGTCTCTGTGACTTCTTTCATGCTCTGAGATGAAAATATACCAAAAGGACGTCATGTTGTAATCATGGGCCTGGCCAACTATGAGGTCACCGAGGTCCAGACCTCAATAAATATATCACAGTCTCTCTGCATCGGAATGATGTGAAACTGCTTGAAACTGACAGCAAATCAATAAGACAGTGTGTGTGGTGAAGATGTGTCGGGTGAGGTCGCCGGAGAAGGCATTACACACAAAATGATATGAAAACTACAATTGTTGTAGTTATGATGTTCAATATTAGAAGATGTTATTAAAAAATGTTGATGATCTGTACAGCAATTCTTTAATGCTATTTGATCTTTGATTTCTACAACCAATGATGATTATTTCATCAGCTGCAGTGCGCTCCGAGCAGCGTACACCCGCTTCCCTAAACTTAATCTCACCCAGAGACCCAAGAGTCCCACACGAGGTTATGTGTCTGTCAGACGAGCTGAAGGGGATACTACCAGCAGAGTGATAACATAATGCACAGCACACTATAGGGCAGGAAGATTTACTTCTTTAAATATTGTGACTTTATTCTCATTAATCACCAACTTTACTCTCATATTACTTTTTAATCAAAATATGACAAATTTAGTCTCACCTTCTCAGAGAACACATATGTGGGATATGTTTTGAATGTGCAGAAAGTTTTAAAAAAAAGAGCATAAATCTTGCTAAAAACTCATTAATATTGGATCTCACCTTGTGTCTGACGTAAGCAGCTAAGTGGGTCTCTGTACACCCACCTCCAAGTAAGGCAGACGGTTCTCTCAAAGTGAGCCTCAACACATGCTCAGTCTTCTGGTACGCCACCTTTAACAGTCACAAGTAAAGATTAACACATCAGTTCATTTGTCACATTTGTCTCACATTAATGGACATTCCAAGCTGATGTCTGTGTGTAAAAGCACCGATTATGCATTTTTTAAATACGTTTAATTAAACAAAATCACTGATGCCAGTTGATGGATGCTCTTAACAATGGTGCCGCAGAATAATTTAATTTCTCGCCCGTCTGTATTGGTAAAAAAAATGAACACACCAATTGAGCTTTATGAGGCCGTATATCATCAATCATATTTCTGCTTCTTGTGCATGGGTGACCACAATAGTTAAAATCCTTCCATACGTCAGTATAGTCCCCAACACTCCTCACTGTATCTTACCTTCAGCTCACTTAACATAGTCTGGTTCCTGTGGCAGAGGATCATCGTGCAGATCGAGGACTCCCCAGGAGGTTGTAAATGCAGCATTGTCTTTGATCCAAACTGCAGAATACTGAGATCTTTCACCTTCCCGTAGGCCTTGGCCGGGATTGTGGTGTTCAATGTGGCCACAGGTTGAGCACCTATTGGTTAAAGTGGACAGAAACGTAGGACGACCTCACACACAGTGCAAAGTAACAGCAAAGGATATACCTGGACAATACACTATCCATATGTACATTTACAATTTCACACGTGAAAGAATGCCGAAATTGCAAAGCATTTAGTAGCATTTAAGTAGCTTCACAGTTGGATAAAATCTAATCATACATACACACATATAAATTCTGCATCTACTTGTTACAGTGCTTAAATTAAGCCACTGTGGGTCTGAGTGAAATATTCAAACCATTTGGAATCTTTAAAAACTTTGGGGTCTCATCACAAATGTTAAATTCCTGTGGTCTCTGAGAGCTTGTCTATATGATATCAATGGATTTAGGACATTTAGAGGCCTACCTGTCAGCTGAGTAAGTGGCTCCATGAGAGTGATTCCCAGTCTTTCTATCACTATGACACCATGCCTCTTCAGGTATTGCTGCACCACTGGGTGTATGACCTTCTGGCACACCAAGACCTTCACCTCATCTTTGACCACCTGTTTGACGAGCTCCAGGAGCTGATCCAGTATTTGCGAGTCCGTGTCTACACCCGGGTGCACGTCAATTTTCCCATCTCCCAGTTCAGAAAGGTCTCCAGCAAGAGAAGCACTGAACAACACCAAGCGCAGTGGATTTGAATGCTGGTTCTCTGACTTGTCGAGACATAAGTCGTCCGGCGTGTCCACCAGTAAACCTGGAAACACTGCAGAGTTTAGCACAGGGTGGCCTTCAACAGAGATGCTCACTATTTGGCCAAGACTGACTTCACCTGGGCTGTTACAGGGAACAGTCAGCAAAAAAGCCTGTACAGCCAGTTTGCTGATGTGAAGTACCTCTGACTCTGTTAGCACACATGCTGGTTTGCTGGAGATGATACTGGAAGCTAATGTGATGAAGTTGTGACTGCTGCAGAAGTCGAGCTTAACTTTACAACCACAGTCTTCTCGTTGCAGGTAACTGGTGCACAATCCCAGCAAGTGCTTGTTCACCCTGATAGCCACACTGCCACTGAGACCTGACTGTTTCGCTTGCTCAATAAGAGATAAACAAAGAATGGCAGCGAACAGACCACAGTCACTGAAGCGAGAAACGTGGTTGAGAATGGAGGTTTTTATCAGATTGATAAAAGACTGCGAGGAGGAAATGGCTGGAAGGAGAACGGAGGAGGTGGAGGTGGTTACAACATGTCCTCCGATGTTGTTGTGGACTTGTTTAAGTCTACCTGTTGGACCAAAGCACGATTTCAGAAGCTGCCTCAGCAAATGAAGCTTGTTACAAATAACGGTGTTGTCCAATGGTAGATCCGTGCAAAGAGACGGAGATTTCTTGACGAGTCGAGACATCACTGACGCAGAAACTTCTCAAAGCAGTTTCACAAGACCGTGTGGACAAAAGGTCGCGTGTTATAACGTTAGAGTTTACTTATTGAGTGGCAGCTATTTCGCGAAATTTGATAGAACATGACACTTAATCATCCTCCATGGTAATCACCTTTGCTTGACACGAGCATCGACTCGGATAAGGAGGCTTTTTACATTGCCTGACAACAATAAAACAAATTTGGAATGCACCATTTATATCTTGTACCACAACACATCAAATAATGTCGGTTCCCTATTATCTTGGCTATTGTATGTTAAAAAATAGTATATTGATACAATTCGACAACATATTATTTCGAGTTCCACACAGGCTCTTTCACTGCGCGCCTCGTTTCCATGGTAGCGGGAACAGCGTCGCGCTCTAGCGGGGTCCTGTTAGACAGACGGTCGCATTCTCTCGCCAATCTTAAAGATGGCTGCTGTCACGACAGATATTCTACTTAAATCTATTACTCCACTACGCAGAGATTGACAGTCACCTTTGCTACAGTTTCCCGAAGTGTTTCACGGGTTTAAAAAAAAGCGGTGACATCATACTGGTGTTTGCATTTGTTGGACTACAAACTAAATGTGACGTCATCTCCTGTCGCGTCAACGGTTAACCGATTCAAAACTGCTGGCGGTATGTGTACGAAGTCTGTTGTGATGTTGTTGTATGCCACAAATTAGTTTATTACACATTTGTAGAGTCATCCACGTGTCATTTGGTATTACCAAACCTACCAATGCATCTCTGAAAGTGATGAATAGCACGGTACGGTCTGTTCAATGTGGAGTACCACTAAGTGTCTATGATAAACCAGCTCGTGTTAATCTCTTACAAAGCTGATGAACTCATCTGTATTATATGTTGTGTTATTTCTCGGCTACCATGTGTAGTGTAATCTATGATCATAAACTTGTTTTCAGGTGTAAACTGACTGCTGTGTCCACTTCAATGGCTCCTCTCAAATTTGCCATTAAGGTAAGCAAACATTAAATATACAGCATACAGACCCTTTTAGTGCAGTGTTGAATTAAAGTAATATAATGTATACTATAGTGTTATATTAAACAGCATTGTGTAATATTAAAATGCTCACTATTTATGTGCAACAGCTATTAAAACGTCAGGCTTTAAATTAGTTTTGTGTGCCTATTTGAATAAAGCTGATTGAACATACACAGACAAAAAATGCATGAAAAAGCTCATATTTTAAAGAAGTTATTGTTTAACTCAACATTTACATTTAATGTATTTTTCTGAAGTGATTTTTTAATTTTATTTGCTGAGGACCTTCCTCAGTAAGCTTTATTCAGCGCTGATTCGCCCATGCATGATCGTAAATACTGCTATTACGTTAAGAGTTTCTAATGTATTTATTGAAATTTTGTGAGTCCACTTTTGGCATGAACCCATTAACAAAGGAAGATGATCTAATCACAAAACACTGATGACCAAAATCAAAGGTTATTATCAAAATCATATTATTTCGTCATATTCTTAGGTATAGATTGTGAACATCTATAAGCAAACAAGGGGTGGGTGTTTTTCAGTGATCACAAAGCCTCACTTAAAACAAAAATGTTTTCCCACATAAAATGAGCACAAGATACTACTAAGCCTACAAAATAGGATGAATCTGCGTTCGTTTGATTAAAGCTTTTCAGGTGGTATTGCCAGCATTCATAATAAACAACATTTTTTACTATTATTCTTACTAACAACTGCTACAGACACTAGTTATAGCAATTGGTCTATGTTGAACAAGCTCTTGTGCAGTATGGAAAAAAAAATGCAACACAGGAATATATGCTTAATATTATGCTGCCTCGCTACTCTACGTTTGCTGTATTCATTGTTTTGTCCTTCTCAGTAGCTAATTCTTTGGCCACTAGAGGGAAGTACAGATACATGTTTCAAGTGTCTTGCCTCCACATTTTGACGTTGTCATTCATCCTTTAGAACACCTTATTCAGAGCTTCTGGTCACCTTTTTGCAATTCTCAACTGACTGCCTCCCTGAGAGCCTTTTGTTAATGGACACAGCCATACAGAGCAGAGGAAACTCATTCTATTAAAAAGCCAAGCCATTCATCCTCAGTCTGATGCTCTGTCAGGAATAATGCACATCAGATGTTTTTGTTAAGTGCAGGAAAAGCCGCTGGTCTCTCTTTTGTTGATGTTTCATTTATTGAGAGTTTTGGATGAGGGCTGTAGACATTTGCACTGATCTCTCACATCCTCCATAATGCCATGTGTGCCTAGTTGACCAGATATTGCATTCACTCCCTTTATTTGTTTCATATGCATGCCTGCATTCAGGCTACCCCACCGCCCCCCTCAGCTGGTTGTGGGAGAGTAAAACCCTGGAGGTTCACGGAGGGTTCCTTCCCACTGGGCACATAATGATACTGTTGTGTTACTCTGCCTGAGAAAAATGGACACAGCCTCTACCATGCTTAACCAACTAACCACAAACAAGTATGTTAGAAGGGATTAGTCTAAACAACAGCATTCAAGTCACTTCCCTGGGCTCCTCTTTCACAAAACAAACGCCACTGCTTCCGTGTTTTTTAATAATCGAATGAACTTCCAAGAATGTTAGAGAACAAACATCTGCACAGAGACATTGTTTTCACAAAGGCATGTTGCAAACTCAGTTTGACAGCTTGCACAGAACACGGATCATTTTTTCAATCATAAGTCAAGTTCTTGGATTCACCATAACATGTCTAGGCTGTACAGCGCGTGATTTTTTTTATGTTACTTTCCCCTAAAATGTTTTCAAAGCAGCTCCCTCCCCTGGTCTGTGAAACTACAGGAGGTGCTGGTATGCTCCTTCTTAAATAGGCTTCAGACTATATAGTGACCTGCCACTTCTCAGACCTCCCGAAAAAGGGCCTGCAGGCTAAAACACTGATCCACTGAAGCGGTTGCTGTCTGCCAGGACATTACCGCTGCAGAGCCCTGCAATCTGCCTTCTATTAGCAATATGCACTGCTGACTTTCTAACCATCTACTGTAGTAGGCTGAGACGGAGAACAAAGTCTTTTTTTTTAACAATAAATAGATTGAGGTATCACAGAGTAGTTTAATGTCAGAGGTTTATGTGCTGTTTAGTGTTGTTGTTGCTTTGCAGATGAGCTCATATCGGACCACACATCTTGCCTCTGTGCAAAATCATTGCAGTCTGATTGGAAACATTTTGACAATTTCTAACTTGTGGAAATGAAAGTGACAAGAATAGAAAACAACAACAACAGCCACCTTTCATCTCAGCACTGCCCTAGATTGCTGTACAAAATGTGCATGCCCTAATGTGGCCAAACACTTCTCAGGCTGTTATTTCTCTCTAGCTATTCTGAGTTTTGTTTGCTGAGATATTCCTGTCTGTTCTTGCTGCTGGAATTCCACTCCAGGGTTGTGTCTCTTTGTTTTATCACCAAATAAAAAGAACTCAGGTGTGCTAACATCCACCTGATTAAAGGGAGCTTTGCACACAAAACACTTCTGCGAACTATCTGTCAATTACATTTGCTTCAATAATATCCAGCTCTCAAGCTCCACCGCGCAGTATCTTGCTGTTAGACAAATTGGAAAAGAGAACCGTCTTTTCTTTACTTTTCTTTTTGAAGGGGAAACCCAGGTGACTCACAGTACAGTGAGAGCTTGGGAATGAGGGCGAATAAAGCCTGAGAGCAAGATTGTCACACCGACAGATCTAAAGAGCTCCCCTGGGTTCTTTGCAGACTTGCAGGAAGGGGGAGAGAGAAAGTCAGAAAAAGAGAGAGACAAAGGGAGAGTGGGAGAGATGCAAGTTTTATTGAGTGAGACTGCATCTGCTGCCCCTTCTTTCCCAATGTAAACATCTGCGGCTGGTTAGTGTTAGCCTCTGAGCTAAGTGCAGTCCGAGAAGGTCTGGTTCTTATACGGCGCGATAGCAACGGCAAAGGGCAGCAAGGTGGGGAGGTGGGCGAAGCCGCTCAAAGAGTTTGGGCCCCGTGCCCAACTTGGAGCAGCACAGCTCGGGAGGATGGAGAGCAGGGTCTGGGGGAGAGATAAGGGAAGGTGGAGTGTTTTGGGAACTGAGAGTGATGTAGACCAGAAATGGAAAGGAGCTGTCTGTGGGTTCGAGTCAGGGTTTGTTTATAGACAGACAGAAAATATGAAGGAATTTTCTCATGTTGTGCTGTGGACTGTGAGCAGCTTCGGTCTCAAATGTTTCTCATGTTTTTGTCTTTGTTAACCCCCCCCCCCCCTGGTTATGAGATTGGCAGTGGGGAGAATTAGGAAGCGAAGTTGAGCTGAGCTTGCAGGAAGACTCAGTCCTTTTCATTCCCCGTGTGACAGCATACAAAAGATGGCACAATAAAGGATTTGGTATTAAGTAGCGCTCCTTGCCGCCTCTCATTCAGCCTTCGGGCTCTGTTCATAACTCTAAAAGGCCCGTGCAAGACAGAGAACAAAGCAGTGCTGGCCCACTTTAGCGTGTATGAAAGGAGTAACTTCCTCTAGAATTCGGCCCTTTTATCAAACCTTTCTTTACAACAACAGCGACAGTTGTGCAGAGTATTGCCTTAAATGCGTCAAAGCAAAGAACACAAAGTAGGAGAGCTCATGAATTTGATAAATGAATACATGAAGTTAATGAAATCTGCCAGAGTCCTGCTGATGGTACTGTAGAGATTGTGTTATAGAGGAAGGCATGTGGTGGTATTTGCTGAGAGACTGAAGTTGTTAATCTCGCTTTTTTTATTTTGTTTTCACTCTTTCGTGGAGCACACTGGATTTTTTTCCGGCACTTTCAAATTGCTTTGCCCAAGGAAGACGCGGTTCTTGTGATCTGTGTATTACTGCCTCTCTAAAGTGTTAGGCTGCTTACAGAGATCTCACTAAAGAGTAACCGGGGTCATAGTTCATGGCAGAGTTCAGACTAGAGATCCACCGGTCACTCTTTGTGCTGGGAGTTGACAAATTTGGACCACATGATGTGATTGTAGTCGGAGCCTTTGTGTGAAATTAGATTCTACTGCTTTTGTGTCTTATCTGCCACAGTCAACACAAACGTCCTTTGTGTTGACGCTCTGATGGCTGCACCTAGACAGCGCAGCCTTGACTCAAAGATTGAACAGGGAAATGTGGCCCTCCACCAAATCCCCAGTTTTGCTGAGCAAATTAATTTCTTTTCTTATTAGTGTAATTGAATTAGCTCTTCTGACAAAATCCCCTTATTTCTCTAGAAGCCCAGGGAATCACATGCTGTTTTTGTGTAAGCGGCAGACCAATGTTTATCATTAATGTCCAGTTCCCAGTTTGTCTGCTGCTCTAATGTGATAAAAGGAAGTTAGTCTAAGGCTTGCTAGATGTCTGGCTTTCAGCCCAAAACACAGACTCAATCAGAAGCTCTGAAACCACTTTAGGGGGATTCACCCTCCTGCGTCTCCATAAGGGCCACACTTCCTACACTGCTCCCTTCATTCCAGGATATTGATCAAATTAACCCTGTGTGTCGCTCTTTTGAGCTCGCATTAGCTTGTGTAATTTTGAGCCATGTACCCTGGAAGACTGATCTTGTGGTCCTTATCAGTGCCGTCCTAGGAGATAGAATATTACAAACACCTCATTATAAAGCATTCCGATGCCACAACACCATCAACTATGCATACAACATTTCCATGGAGGTACATTTCCATTTCTCTGACACATTGTCAATATTTTAAATTAAAATGTATACCCGATAAACTGGTAACTCATGTACAGCAGCAGCGTTGCTATATTCCTCCGTAAAGCTATTCTGAGGTCTCAAAAATCAGACAATAAAGTCAGGGTACCAAAACCTTTCTGGTGTGTGTGTCTAACCCCAAGATACCACTGCAGGGCTCATCCATTAGTCGGGCCGTGTGTTGTGATTGACAGGGTCTGACCCTCTGTTGCTAGGCTTTCCCACACACTGGTAATTGTTGGAGGCAGTCAGCTGAGGCCACCAGTCATCCGTGGACCGCTGTGAGACAAAGGGCACAGGATGGAGAGAATACTGATCTGTAGGGACGAGCTGATTCTGACAGGCAACATGCATACATTTTATACATGAGGAGCTTGCACATAAAGGAGGGCTCTGTTCTGGTCCATGGCATATTGTTGTCTTTGTGAAAGCATGTTTTCATGTAACAAGTATTGTTTGTAATTTGCTAAGTTTCTACAGAAACCGTTTTCTGTTTGTGCTTATATCACATCTTGATGTTTGGACTTCTGTTTTGTTGTAGAATATTTCAAGATACGGATTGATGAAACAGAAGATCACAGCTTAATGCATTGCCTTTAAGACTTCAAAATTACATTTATTTCCCATTAGCCTTGGTAAAATCTGATGCAGAGACTTGCTTAAGTGCAAGATGGCACACATTTAGGACTTGACATATCCTGCAGAAGAACAGTGCCAGCTATGACTGAAATTTACCGAAACATTCACCGATCAGTCATGTGGGGGCGCCCTCTCCCTTAGTTGACCTGCAAGTACAAGTAAGAACGAGAGCTTCACTTCCATTATTATTGCAGAAAGACAATGAGAAAGGAAAACGCTCTCATGGGAAAAAAAAGAAGAAAAACATTTGTCAGCTTGATCTGCTCTGAGCCAGTATTTAGCCTTTTAACGTCACTCGATGAAAGGTTCCCAGCCCAACTACAGTTTTATAACGATGAATAAAACTCTTTTTAAACAAGAGGAGGAGACAACTGGAGAGAGTGTGGAAGTCTAGGCTTGTGTCTAGAATTAGGACCTAAGTAGCGGAGGCCTTCCCCTACACACCCTGTGGATTCTTTCTCGCGCGTCATCCTGAGAACGAGCCGTCGGGACATCCCTCAAGTCTGGGCTGTAGAGTTTAGTCATTCTGTCTGCAATGCTTCGACCCAGGGGACGAGCCTGGCCCAAAACAAAGCTTTTAGTGTGCACAAAGTATTCCCTGCTACTAAATGAATAACCTCTTCTATTTGTACACACTCCTTTCCAGTTCTACGCGGTGAGCCTGGAATCTGGTTCTGGTTTTGTCTTTATACGACTTTGTTTTTGCTACCCCACTCAGTTCAATGCTTTTTGCGGCATTATCACTGTGGGTTTTAGGGCAGTACTGGTTGCTCCTCTGTGTCATGTTGTGGGTGGTCTCAGCCCATCCATTACTTCCCTTGTCCAGGGAGAGGCGAAGTTCACACGAGACCCACATCCATTTGCTCTCTGCAGCGGGCAGCTTTTGCGCTCATGTGTAAACTATAATCAGGCTAGCATGAGAAAGATGTAACAGCAACTTAACCTGCCGCGGCATTTCTGGCCTCCCTGTCCCTTGTAGCTGATTGTCATTGACACAATGACGTAGCGCTTCAGGAATCCACTCGGCAGCCCTCTGCTCAGCTTTCGACAGCACTCAAAAGTTGTAGTGCAGAAGTGCAGAAACATTGCAGAGTGCTTTAGGGTAGGTCTGAGCAGTTTTACCACCACTCTGATACAAAGAGGATAATCCTAATTTATGTGGAACATCATCTTCAGACTTTTTGTTGTGCAGCCTGTTGTGACCTGAGGCAGAGACCGTATTGCTAAAGCTTATAGAATAAGAACATACTTTCTTACGCTGAGAGCGGGGAAATATGAGGAGACAGAGAGGGCCATACTTTTTTTGTACAGAGATTGGTAAAGAGATAGCTAGACAGAGAAACAAGAGGGAGGGGATTGCTGCAAGAGGCCTGGGGTGATGTTTGACATGGGGGTCGTTGTGGTTTGTCTCGCTGTCAATCACCCACACTCTGATTTCCTTTTGTTGTCTGTGAGCTCAATGCCCCTCAGCAATCTGTGGCTGTCCTTTCTCTTTGTGTTACAGTGTGGGAACTTTGCTGTGCTGGTGGATCTCCACGTTCTGCCCCTGGGCGGCCAAGAGGAAGCCGGCTGGTTTACTGCGGACCACGTTCAGGTACAGACACAGGGAGAAGGGCGTGCGTGTGAATAAGTGTGTGAGTGAATATGTGGCGTCTGTTCAGCTGGAGGCCTTATCAAAAGTCAGCAGCAGCGTGGAATCCAAAATGACTTTGAGCCTTCGGTCTGTTCTTCTTCAGGGTTTTCATTGTTGCAAAACTGTTCTAATCTCTCCAACCAGCCACTTGTCGTGTCGCCTTACTGACCTTTCACTCGAGCCTTCTACTGTCCTGTTGTCTGCCTGTGCTCATCATTAATCTTTACTTGGAAAGTCCAAAAACAACTTGCGTTATCTTAGCAGTCCAACAACAATTTGCTGTGCTGAAAAATGTGCACGCTGTCTTTAGGAGGTTACGGCCCTGGTTCGAGATGCTGTGGACCAGAGGGTGAAGCAGTACACAGAGTCCCGCCACAATAGAAGACAGCCCAAACAGAAGAAGGAGCTGGCACCTGCTTCAGCCTTTTTTGTGAAAGGTAACACACCATCTTGTGACCCTCCTTACACTGCCCTAGAGCCAAATAGTCTTAATAGTATTTATTATGCTACAGTTTATTGCTTTACGACCGTTTACTGTATTTGACATTGTGTTTACCTTGAGCATTAGTTTAATTGTTATTGGTCCAAGTTATATTCAACTCCCTGTTGCTCATTCCTTTGGAATGTAGTCATCTTTGTCTTCCCTTTCCATGCCTTAGGTGTGTCTATCATCAACTCTTAAATAAGTAAAGTTGTTTACTTTGGCTATGAACTCAAAACTTGTTTTAATTCACTTGGACCCCAGTGCAGAGATATGGCTGTGTGCATGGAAGCGGGTCACTGAGGTCGGAGGAGGATGGGAATGGAGTTATAACCGTATAAAAAAGTGTTCCATACCATTTTAAGGAGAGTGTGGGAGGAAATACAACAGAACTAGTTGGGACACGGTGGCTGCTCTCTACGCCCAGGGTGTGACTTGGAGGCAAGAGCTGATAGGAGTTTTTATATTGTGTTGCACTGTTTAACTTGGCACAACATATAAGTCTACATAAATGGCTAACCTTAATGTGGTGTTGGCACACCTGTGTTTATCCGTACTTGTAGTTAACTGGATGACACCAAAATACAGTTGCCCAGACACACATACAACTAATTACACAGAGAGGAAAAAGCAATAAATAATGCTCCACTGTGAATAAGCCAATTCAATTCTTTGCTATTTATCCAATGCAAGTACCCTTGCATTGGATATTCCCTCAGCCACCCACACGCATGCCTTTGAAGCACTGGAAGTCTAGCTTCAGAGGAACCCCCAGCTGCGTGTTGTAAGGCAGACAGGTTTGTCACAGGTAGCAGTTAAGGGCAGTTAAACTGGGCTCACTCAGCAGGGCAGGCCTGACTGTGAGAGTGGGATTACAGGGCAGTTGGTTCCATAAAGTTTCTCCCGTGGCTGCAGCTCTGCCTCTCACGCTACTCCCCTCCACTTTACTCCTCTCGTCCACTAAAACTGCGCATACATGTGTGTACATTTGTTTTCATACACAGATGCTTGTGTACATGCTATTAAACCGTTAAAACTTGTAGTCATCATAAACGGGCAAACCGGTTGCATGCACGTGTGTGCGCATTGCACACAGGTGCTGGTACACGTCAGAAGCAGTGAGAATCAAAAGTTGCCAGAGTGTGTTGGAGAGATATATCCTACCCCCTGGGCTAGGTGTGAACAGGCTGACAGTGTACGGTTACTGAAAAGCCTGTCTCATATTCCATATGACAGACTGAAGAGAGACAGACATGTCTAATGATGGAGATCACAGACTGAGGCTCCACACACACACACACACACACTTACACCCACACATTCACTCCACTGGGGGAACAAGGGGACTATCAGTATTTCAGCAGGGAAATATGCATGTAAAAATGATTAAGCTCCTTGCAGCTTTGCCAAAAAGAAAGTGGAACAGTGGAACATGACTCCATACCATACTGGAGAATTTTCCACACATGAAAAGGTATGGTGCCTCAAACGGGCCCACACAGTTCATGTGCTCTAGTCCTATTAAAAGGTCTTAAGTGAGTGTAATCACATTCTTGGTCTTTTCATTGTCCCATGTGAGGGAGGCGGCAGAGCAGTAAAGGTGGAGACTGTGACTGTGAGAAGTAAGCAGGCAGGCAGGAGCCATAAAAAGGGCAGGACGGACTATAGGCTTATTGAGGGGAGCCCAGCAAACCTCAGGGTAGGTATTAAGTATTGGGGTCATCTGTTCAGCAAGCAGGTCAAACGCTAACATGCTAATCCTCACAGGACTTTCAGACTGTCCAAAGCAGGGAGTGGAAGCTGGTTTTCTGTGTGTATCTGTTTTAGCAGAGGACATATTTGCATCTATGTGTGTCTGTGCAGCGTTGCGTTGTTCGAGAGCAGAATTAAGGTGGATATCCAGGACCGAGACTTGTGTATGTGCTGAAACACGTGCTCATTCATGTTGTTGCTGCACTTAGAGAAAGGTGTCAGGCGGAGTGGTACTGATGTCTGGGCCAAGAATAGGCAGATAGAGTGTGGTGCTATGTGTGGGATGGTATTAGAGGGGGGACTTGTGGGTCTTGTATGAGGCGGTGTTTGAGCTGGTGCCAGTGTGAAATCACAGGGGCTTCCGCCAACAGACAGCAGTAAGAACAGCGTAACCGCCTCAGCTGTTGGCACTTCCAATGAGCCATCAACAGCTTGTAGCATTCCAAGGCCCTTCAGTGCAAGTGTTTGTATCTGAGTTATCCCTATGGGTTATTGTATTTATGTATGTATGTATGCTGTGTTGGGTGCATATGTGTGTGCATAGCACCCAGTGAACATGTCACAGAGAGGCTTACACCATGTCTTCTGCCAATATAAATCCAGGCCTTTTCATTGTATCTCTGCTGCAGTGGCCAATTTCCAACTGTCAACCCCCAGCCCCCCTCTTTTTCGTTTTCTTTTTTTACCCCGGCTACATGAGACTTCATGATTAGCTCATAGTGATGTGATTTATTTATGTTTTTAGAGAGATGAACATAGGGAACTTTTCCCACCAAACATCTTGGCTCTGGACAAGCAGACTGGACATGCTAGACTTTCGAAGCACAGGAAAGGGGAGTTTGGGAGAGGCCTGCATTCTTGATGGGAGACCGTGTTGAACACACCCACATTTCTCAGAGTAATTACAGATTGAAAATGAGAGGATAATAGGTTTTCTCTATGCTTTGAGGAAGACATTGTTTTGTTATGTGATATAATATACGAGTAAAGATGCTGGTGGTTCTGCTCTAAGACAGCATGAGTGTCACACTTGTCCTCATGGAGATGCCATTGCTCTGCAGGAAACAAGCCTAGGAAGAAAACCTTTCCACGTCAGACATGGCCCTCTTGTACAACTCGACATGATGTACAGACTGCCCAAGCGATTGTCTCACTGATATACTTCTACTTTTTGGATTCAATTAGATACAGAAACTGGTGATTGTGTGCTCTCTTTTTATTTGCTCTCGGTCTAGTATTGTTTTACCTCAAGGGGATATTGATTTTGTGCTCCATAATGGTGTGTGTATATTTGTGTGTACGTGCAGAGTGTAAACTGAGAAGGCCCATTTTACACGGGTTTAGTTAACACGCCTTTTCAAATTGCCAAAGCACATTACCAGATGTCTTGCATCTACCATTTGAATCGATACAGCCACATTGATCGAGGTAGAGCTCGGGTGTAGCTCAGCCTGTTGTTTGAGTGGCCTCCTCCCAGTCAGAGGAGTTAGAGGAGCCCTGGCAAAGTGGTACCTAGAGAGCATTTTAGCCCCATGGCAGAGCTGGTTCCTTCTTCCTCTCTCTGCACAGGTGCCAGGGCTTAGGGGGAGGGAACACCTGCCAGCCTGTTTCCCCATGGCCACGGCAGGCTGGAGAGGCATTTTCCCAGGCTCCCCAGATGAATGGTCACTAATAGCCGTGGGAGAGGGCTTTGCGAGTGCTGCACAGTGTACCACTGACTCCTCTTGGCAGCCCTATGAAGGGGGCTTAAGGCGGCCTGGCCACGGCCATAGCGGGAAAAGCACAAGTGTTGCTGGATAGCTTTACTGTTGGAGAATGTGTTTACGAATGACCATCTCCTTCCCAATGAAGAATGCGCAGGTTGTGTAGAGACTACAAGGGAGACGGTTCATTTTTGCACTGCCCCGTCAGTGCCGCGTAGATTTAGCTTTGTTTTGCTTCTCTGGCTCTTCGAAGGCCTACAGCACCCAGGTCCAACAGTTTAGCAAATTTGGAAAAGCTATTCAGACTTTGTGTACAAAAAGGCAAAGCACATGTGTTAGATGTCCATTTTAGGGAGAATTGGTACATGCCAACCTTTCAGCCTCGTACTTTGACAGTTCACAGGACTTTTCTGAAGACACAGAAGTACTGTGGTGACAACCCTGTATTAACCCACGTTGCTTCTTCTCAGTGCCACCACACAGCTATTACTATTTATGTAAGTGGCTGTTAGCTGTTATGTGGGGACTGGTCTGTAAATAGAGAGGCATGCATGTGGCAGTGTTACCTGCCCTGCTCTGCGTTACTGGGCGCGAGGCAGGCTGGGATTAAGGCGAGGGGGAAACGGAGACCTGTGACAGGAACAAAGGAATTCCAAGGCCCAGGCTGGAAATGGATCCTGATCAGAGTAGCCACTCCAGCCAGTCCTGCCCCTCTCCCCACTCGCCCTCCCTCCCCTGGCCCCTGCTGGGCAACCCCCTTTCCCCTGGTGCTTTGTGGTGTTGCTGTGGCTCTTTAAATCCTTTCTGTAAGCCCCTGGCCTTACTCTGCAGCAACACACAGGACAGTCTGACTCCGATGTTAACCCTCCTCCTTCCTATTATTGCACACTACACACACACACACACTTTCGTTCTTTATCTTTTCCCTTTGCATTTTTACGCATTTATCCACTCTCTCCACTTCTCTTCTGCCTGTGCCCTCCATGTCAGCTCTCCTCATGTCGTCTCTTTATGTTTTCACTTTCTCCCCTTCTCCTTCTCCGCAGGGTCAGCTGCAGCCTCTTAGGACACAACCGCAATCCCCGCCATGGCTGTCACACCACACTCTTTTCCCATATAATTAGGGCCTGAGCCTGAGCACGGATCACATTCATGTGACCGTTCCCATTCACCACAATCTGGTCTGGGAAGATGGCACACTCTCTCGAACTCATGCTAAGTGTTCCGCATGTCCAGAAGGCCTTGTTTTAGTGATCACCGAGAGGTTTAAAGGATGTTGTTGTTTCTCCCTGCTCTTTGCTTCACTTTGAGAGAACTGGGCCTGTGTCATGTGCTCTTATGAGCTCTGTGATGGTTCCTGTGGACAGATGTTGTTGTGCTGTGTGCCAAATGTGCCTTGTGTTGTCAGATAAGGCCAGCCTAAGATGGTGTGAATCTTCGCTGGCCTCTCGATTCGATTACGATTCACGTGTCAATGATTTGAATGCACAACGATCCTCAA